CAAAGATCTACAACAAAGGTCAGAAGACAGTGCTATACAAAATGACAATGGGAAGGAGCAAAATGCAATCTCAGACCCCAAGCCCACCCATAACAAGTGCAGAGAACAATAACACAGAACAAATTGGGAATCACACAGCTGAAATCAATGAATCAATGGCTTCTGAAATAAAGAAACAACTGCAGAAAGGTATAGAGGAACTCAGATCAGAAATAAAAAAGAAATCTCTGAATTAATTGCATCTGCAGTAAAGAATCAAATGCAGAAACATATGGAGGAAACCCAGGGCCCACCCACAACAAGTGTGGAGGATACTCGCTCAGCTGAAATGAATGAATTAATAGTGTTGAAAGTAAATAAGCAACAGCAGAAAGATATAGAGGAACTCAGAGTGGAATTAATTTCTGAAATAAAAAAAGAAATCTCTGAACTCATAGCATCTGAAGTAAAGACTAAAATACAGAAACATAGGGAGGAAACACAATCTGGAAAAAACCATGCAGTAAAAGAATTAATAACTGCTTCTAAAGAAGACACTGATAAAAAAATAAAGGAAATTAGAAAAATGATGGACTCCTTGAGTGAGCAATACAAGAAAGAAATAGATCGCATGAAGCAGAGTCAAAGAGATATAGAGGAACTTAAAATCTCAGTCACAAGCTTGCAAAACCATTTGAGTGAAAGTGAAAACAGAGTTTCAGATCTTGAAGATGCTGGTGTAGCTAGTGAAAAGGTAAGAAAAGATCTCTTAGAAACAACTAGGATGCAGGAAAAAATATTTCATCACTTGCAAGACGATGCAAAGATGAACAATGCAAGACTAATAGGTATCAATGAGAAAGAAGGAGTCAATACAAATGACATTAAAAAAATATGGGCAGAAATAATAGCAGAAAACTTCCCAAACATGAGGAAACAATCTGACATTCAGGTAACCGAAGCATACAGAATGCCAAATAACCTCAACCCAATTAAAAACACACCGAGACATAGAAAACCCATCGGGAAGTGCAAAGGTAGATGGTTCCATAGTGGAAACTTATAACCATGACATTTTTGGTCTCCTGGCCAAAGACAATTCTACAGTGGTATGTGGGGTCAAGTGTGAGGTGGTAACAACACAGGACGAATGGACGGAGGTCCCCCTTCTGACTCATGGGTGAGCTGGTGAGGGCCCAACCACCTGGTTCTCATGCAAAGGTGTAGTGCAGTGGCTCTCCAGGAGGAGCCTGGCTGCTACCCACCAGGGCTCTCGAGCCATGAAGCTGCTGATTTCATGTTTTTAGGTGTATAATTTTCAACTGATTTTTTTTTATTATTCAAAATCCACTGATTTTAAGAATTATATTTTTAATAGTAACTATTTAACAGTCACAGTCATGTTAATTGCCTGGAACATGATAATTTCACAATAGATATGTTTATTACAAGCTTACACAGTTTTTATGTCAATATCTTAATCAACTATTTGGGAAAAAAGAAGAGATAAAAAAACAAAAAAGATTAGAATCATTTAGTATCAGTGAGAAAGAAAGAGTCAATACAAATGACATTTAAAAAAATATGGGCAGAAATAATAGCAGAAAACTTCCCAAATATGAGGAAACAATCTAATATCCAGGTAACCGAAGCATACAGAATGCCAAGTAACCTCAACCCAATGAAAAACACACCGAGACATAGAAAACCCATCGGGAATTTAGCATTTTTCTCATGCCAAAAAATTAGAATCTAAAAATTTAGCAAAGGTATCTTTAAAAAATCTATATAAGAGTCTGTGGCACAGGTGTCCCTCCACCCTGCAGGTGAGGAAGCCGTGGAGAGAAGGGGTATCACAGCCCCCAGCCCTCTATTGCGGGCAGGTACATTAACTTACGTGTGTAAGTGATGCTACCTTGCAGAAGTGAGAATCCGCGTATCACCTAGACACCCTCCTTTATGGTACATATTTTTTAAGCCATATGTGTACCGGGACACACCTGATTGGTACCCAGAGGAATTCACATGTCTCTGGTCCACCTGGAGTCCAACTGCCTATGCTGGGATTCCCAGACACCCAGGGAAAGGCCTGAGGCTACTTTGAACACTTCAAAAACTCAATGGAAACTGTGTTAGTCACTTTCCTTATTGCCAGGACAAAATATCCAACACCCAAAACGTAAAGAAGAGATGTAGTTCAGCTCTTCTCAGAAGAGTCTGTGCTTGCACAGTCAGCAGCATGGGCAAGGGCGTGAGGGAGGCAAGCCTGGCAACTGTGAAAGCAGAGTGTGAGGCAAGGAGTGGGGAGGGAAGCCCCACTGCCCAGCCCCAAGCCAGCTCTGGCACCCTAATCCCACACTGTCCCCAAGCCCTGCCTCTGAGAGCATGAGGCTTTGTGGAGGTGAGGGTCTTGACACCGAGGAGAGCAGAAGCCAAGCCTCTGACTGTGATTTAGCTACAGGGAGCAACCGGGGTTTGATCTTCGGCCAGTAGACCCTGATGAGCATGGCCTCGGCTGGTCAAGAGCTATGATCAGGAGCCCGTCTCAACAGAAGGGGAAATTGGCTTAAATTGTTATTTTACAAGTCTGATTTGATAGTCAAACATGCCAAAAACTTGACCTCGAGGACACGAAGAGTGAAGGAATGGCTTATGCTAGAAGGTAGCTCCTTTGGGTTGCTTCTCAAACTGTTGATTATTTCACAGGGAGCAATTATAGATGCCGAAGGTCAGTTACGCCTCAGAAAGCAAAAACTTTGATTTCTGATGTTTTGTTTTTGCCTGTAATTGGCGTTGTCCCCTTTCTGGAAATCACTGTACCTCATTTCTTTGAGAGATGTCTGTTGGGGTCGGGGGTGTTGTGCACTGGCCCTTGGGTGAGCCACTTGCCCTTGGTGGTCAGCCTGGGAGGCATGTGTGCCCTACCTTTTGGGGTGTCCTTTAAAGCATATCTTCTCAAGGCCATTACCAGTGTTCGTGAGTTCATGGAGCTTTTCCACCAAGGCCTGCAGCTTAGGGTGAAGAACCCTACCCTGGTGCATGCAGATTCTTCTAGATCTCACCGGGTCATAATGGCAACTCTGACCACAGCCTGCTCCTTGGCCAGCATCGGTGAGCTGCCATTTGCACTGGATTAGTTGAAATGCAGAAAAGAAACCCACTCACTGAGAGACACTTCATAGGGCTGCAGGGTCTAAGGTACATACAGGAGCCAGAGTGCAGAATTGCAGCCACGTCATGTGACAAGCTAGTCCCCGAAGCCAGGAAGCTCTGAGATCCAGGATGGAAGAGAAAGTGAGGAAGGAAAGGTCTTCGCAGGATTAAAAGGGAAACAGGGTGCTCTTATGCCTTGAAACACAACGTACCAGCTGTGAATGGAATTCAGTGTGATTTCAGTTTAAAATGGAAGTTACAGACTGTACCTTGGAGAAAACCATTCCAGGAACCCAAGAAAAACAAGGTGAGTGTCACATGAGCCTGCGAGGCCTAGGCCGGTGGCCCCTGATCCTGGCTGCACAGGTTACCCCTTGGCCTGCACCTTGTGGCCTGTAGCACTCTCCCCAGGAGGCGCATTTGGCAGCTCCACCAGACCCACACAGGAGACATAAGCTGTGGGAGTGAGAGGGGCTTTAGGGTGTTTTTATGCACATTTCCTATTTTTCACAGTGAGTATGTAATTTTTTTAGGTTGAAATAGTCTTTTCAAGAAGTTTCTTTTGGAGTAATGTGTGGCAGAACTGGTGTGCACTTCACAATGAAGTGCTCATTTGTAGGGCATTGTGAAAGCATATTTGACATTAAGGGCAGAACTTACTTCCAGGTGGATTTTCTGCCTGTGGTTTTTGTTAAAATAATCATCAAAACTTTCCTTCTCATTGTCATTTTGTGTAGCACTATCTTCTGACCTTTGTTGTAGAGCTTTGTTGTAGTTATAACTTTAGCACATACTGAAGTTCAGGTGCAGATCTGCAAAATTTGGATTTATCCAGCTGTGCCTGGCTTGGGTCTGGCTGCTGTGCTCAGCTCTTTCCTGTTGTTGCCCTTGGGGGTGAACCTGTTGTGCCCCTCTGGCAAGATGTTCTGCTCCGGGAGTGGCTGGGTGGTTCTGACCCTACACTCTCTGCAAGGATTGCAGCTGCAGGGTTTCACCCAGGCCTGTATGCCAGGCCTGAGCTGAGTCTGGAGAGGACAAGGTAGAGTAGGGGGAGAGGCAGCTCTCCCACACACTCACTGGGCCTGGGCTAGGACTGGATCTGGGGGTTCCCAGAAAGCAGCAAAAATTCCTACTTGGCAGGCATAGTGGGGGTGTACTACGGAGTCGGGGGGGGGCGTCCCAAGGGGTGGAAGAGGGTCTCACCCACGCTGTGCCTGGGCTGGGACCAGTAGGTCCCGCTGGTGCAGGGTAGCCGGAAGCTCTCCCACACACTGGGCCTGGGCTAGGACTGGGTTTGGGGGTTCCCATAATGCTGCAGAAATTCCTACTCAGTGGGCGGGGTGGGGGAGGTGCTGCGGAGTGGTGGGGGCGTCCCAAGGGGGTGGAAGAGGGTCTCATCCACGTTGCGCCTGGGCTGGGACCAGTAGGTCCCACTGGCACAGGGTAGCCGGAAGCCAAAACTTTCTAAGAAGCACTGCATTTTCTTGGGACAGATTAGGTAGGCATTAGTTTAGCTTTCCACAGTGAATCTCACTTCCTGCCTCCTTCTTCTGTCTGTCTCCCTCCAGAGAAGCCTCTAGCTGTCCCTCTGCCCTCTCCTGTCTCACTGATGTGACATGAGGTGGAGTTTCAGAGGCTTCTCAGCAGAGGCGAGGCTGAGCAAAGCCTGGTGACTTTGTTTTCTGTCTGTCATTCCCCTTTCCCAGAGCAGCTGCTTGGCCAGACCCTCCCCAGGGAGTGAACGGGGGCAGGTAAGAGGTGGAGCTCAGCTCATCCGGCTTCCCCTCCTGGGTCAGGCCCTTGGGACCTTGTGGGTGGCTGGAACCAAGTGTGGTCCAGGCTGCAGTTCGTGGACTCAGCCGGCAGTGAGTGTGTAGGTGAGTAGGGATGGAGGTTTGCCTGGGAGGCTGTGCTAGCAGCAGCCCTCTCCTGGGGGTGTGGACAAGGCCTGACTCCATGCAGGTGCCTTGGAAGCTCTGAGCATGGCATATCCTCTGTACAGGGACACTGAATCCTTGTACATCCTCATGGGTGGTATGATCTCACTGCTGCAGTCCACAACATGCCCACCCCATGGGCACCTACGCAATATACTATGACACTCTGGGTCCGGAGGAGCTCAGCATTTCCAGCAAGAGCTCCACACTGGTCCTCAGAGGTGACAAAAACATGAGGAGCTCATTTTGACAGCTTCAGCCTTGTGTCTCTGAACCCCCCAAGTGCATACTTCCCCTGAGAACCAACACTGCTTCTTCTGCCTCACTTTGTGAGCATGTGGTGACTCTAGCTGGTTTATACTCCTTCCAGGTATGTCCGGGGTGACAGGCTTGGCACTGAGGGAAATCTCATTCATCAACCACAGTCTTGCCACCCTGGGGTAGATCTTGGGTGCCTTGTCTGAGCACCAGACAAGGACCACATCCCATACCACCAGAACAGCAAGCGAGTGAGCTTGCTGCAGGGCTCCATCAGTTCGTCCTCCTGTAGTCCCTGGGGCTCCAGGTGGGTGGTTCCTCCTGGTCAAAGTCCTGGCTTTGCCAGGTGTACCATGTCTCAGTATCTCCTGCCCTACTATTAATGACAACAGGATGCCTCCTGCACCCTCTCATGCATGGGTTGGTTCCTGTGTTAGGGGTGTACCCTTGTGACTCCAACTAGCTGGAGGGCAGTCCTAGGACATGGTAGGTGGCTGAGGAAGCCTTGCCCATTCAATATCTAAGCTATGGAAGGGCAACTTGCCTTAGTGAGATGGGTGGCACTTGGTGACCTGCACCCCTCAGGCTGTGGATATGCTGGCTTTTGGACATGGTGCCTTCTCTACTGCAGATATTCTCTCTCTCTCTCTCTCTCTCTCTCTCTCTCTCTCTCTCTCTCTCTCTCTCCTGTGCATGTCTTCTGTGCAGAATCATATGATGGAGACACTATAGGGCCTTGGGTTTGGGACTAGAGCTCAGCAGGTTAAGTGAGGATGGGCAAGGAAGAAGTCTCCCCACTCTAGATTAGGCACAGCCTAGGAATGAGTTCTCCTCCCTCAAAATGTGCTTCTTGTGCCTGCCCTCTAATGTGCATGCCTGAAAAATAAACTTGTTTTGCTGCGACCCATTGAGACCTACAAGTCACTAGATCAGAGGGTTGGTGAGGAGGCAGCTCATCAGAAGGGTCCTTTCCCAAAAGGACATGTGGGCCAAGCAAGGAGCTTCTCGTTCTGCACAGGCAGTGGTGCTGAGGGACACTATTAGGCCAAGCTCCATGCCTGTCACCTCATCAGATATGAAGGATCTCTGTGCCCAGGTTCTGGAACCAGAGACTTGGGCTCTGCCTCCTCCCATGTGCCCTCTGGGTTAGAGCCTGACCCCACACCTCTGCGATAGGGTCAAGGCTGGAGGGTCAGCAGCAGCACAGGACGGACAGCTAAGAGAAAGCAGCGGCAGTTTGCAGGGTGCTTTGCTGCTTGGCTTCTCCCTGCTTCTGGAGCCCCAACAGGCCTCTCCAGCACCCCAGAGGCCAAGACTGGGTCTCGGGAGGAAGGCATGTGTCAGGGAACTGGGGTCAGAAGTACAGATCAGCAGTCACTCAGTTTTTCATCAGCGGTCAGTTTTGGTTCTGAAAATGAGGTTGGGAAGCAGGTGCTTGAGACAAACCACAGCTGACTGCTTCTGTGCAGAAATGGTTTAAATGTCAGGAAGATGTTTCTGATTTCATCTTATCTTATTTATGCAGCCCACATGTGGTAGAGGGGAGCTGAGAGCTTCCTGGGTCCTGGCACATGATCCCTCCTGCTTGGAGTGAGGGGTGGGGTGAGTGGCTGGTGTCCACTGAGATCTGTCCTTCCTCTGGCTGCCTTCCCTCAGGGCAGAGCTTTCTGCTCTCATGGGAAAGGGTACCAGCCCTCCTGAGCTGGGCCTGGCTCTTTACATCGACACCAGGAGGCTGAACACATACACAGGATATTGAGCACAGAAATAATGGGCCTCATGTCTGCCCTGTCACATAAATGCAGCAACATGCTATGGGCTGTGTCTCCACAGATCGATCTATACTGACCTTCCAAAGCCCAGGAGACTGGTCGGGAAGGTGACACCCATGAGAAGACTAATGACTTTATTAAAGAGGTCCAGGAGCTCCCTTGGCTCTCCCATACAGTGAGGTCACCCCAAGAGTGTCCCACCAAGCTGGGAATGGACCCCGACCAGGAACCAGGTGAGTATCACCTTGACCTTGGATGCCAGCCTCCAGACTATGAGGAATGCATTCGTTTATAAGCTGTCTTGACTAGTAATTTGCGACAGGAGAAAACTAAGCCTGCTGAATAGGCACCCAGGGACCAGGGAGGAGAGAAGCAGGTTGGGGGTAGGAGGCAGGAGGTGAAGAGCTGGGTTGCCAGGGACCAGGCACTGTGGCTGGTCATTACACAGAGAGCCACTTACAATGACAGGCTGTGAGAGGGCAGTCATGGGCCTCAACATACTTGCTACAGGCCAGACATATCTTTTTACAGACTGATCACCAGAGCTGGGACCAGCCTGGCTCCTAGGCATGACCCTCCACAGGCTGAAGTATTCACCCTGAACTCAGCATCTTCTGCCACTATTCTGCTTCCCTATCCAGTGAGTGAGAGAAACCTTGTCTTTCCTGCAGCTGAGTTACACTCTCGGACCTGCCCAAAGACAACACCCAGCCAAGTCCTTTTGCAAAAGGCCAAAGCTTGCTTTGGCTTCCCACATGACACTCACAGCCTACCCCGGGGACAGCTTCCTCTTCTGTCTCAGTGCCACTGCTGCAGCTCCACCGGTGCCTCAGCATCATTGAAGCCAGGACTACAGAAGGCAAAGTGCTGTGCACCAGGGAAATCACACTGGTTCTGATCACTTTGGATGGCAATGTCCACTTTCTGCTGCCTGGCCCAAACCCTTGTCTTGTTGCACTCTGTGTGTCGCTGATGACACAGCAGAGGGAAGGATGAGGATGAGAAGCCATGCCCTCTTGAGCAGGAGTCCAGCAGAGTCACACAGGTACAGAACTAAGGCTGCTCAAGGCAGGGACTTGGGCCAGTACTGGCCGAGGAACTGGAGAACCTGCAGGCAGTGAGGACTAAGTTTCAGCTGAGGAGCTGAGATGGGTCCTCATCCACAGCCTGTCCCTGTCCCCCAGTGACCTCCATCCCCACTGGGGGACAGAGAGCTGGGCATGTGGATAGATTGGACGTATATTGCTAAAAGTCAGTCTTTGCAATCAGAGGCACTTATTTTGTTTAGAAATGGACAAATTCAAATTCAGAACCCCCATTTTGAGCCTCATTTTGAAGCCTGAAAATCTCATGGTAGGTTCTAGGGGATCGTCTTTCAGGAAGGAAAAGTCAAGATTATGAATTGTAAAGTGCATATAAAGATAAACATAGAAACATTTTAAAACCATCAAACCCCACCTTTTAAAAAGATTGCAGGAGTTTGCTGAGTCCCGCCACCTTTGCTCATCATCATGAAAGAATTGTTTGACACCTCTAAGGAAGACACAGATAAAAACAGAATGGGATAGGAAAATGATGGAAACACTGAACAAACAATACAAGAAAGAATTAGAATGTATGAAACAGATTCAGATACCCAGGACAGTAAGAATTCCATTGAAAGCTGGAAAAACTTCTTGAAAGAAACAAGATAGAATTTCAGACCTTGAAGATAGCATGGAAGCTAGGAAATATGAAAAAATTAACATAAAAATAGTGAGAAACCAGGAAATAACATACAATAGCTGCAAGATGATGCAAAGAAAAATAATATAAGACTACTAGATATCAATGAAACAGCTGGAGATAACACAAAAGACAAAATTCCAACAATATGCTGCATATAAGAAACACATGTAATGCCAAAAGAAATTAATAGGCTGAATGTCAAAGGATGGAAAACAACACTCCATGTAACAGGAAACCAGAAAAAAGCAGGGCTAGTTATTCTCATTGTTGACAGTGTCAACTTCAAACCAAATGTTATTAGAGGAGACAAAGAAGGTCACTACATACTTGTTAGGGGAAAACTGCAAGAGGAAGAGACAACAATTATAAATACATATGCATCCAATGTAGGAGCACCCAACTATTTAAGATAAATCTTAGCAGACATGAAAATTTAATAAGCAATAATATAACTGTATTTAGAGACTTTAACATCCCATTGACACAGAGAGATACCATGCAAAAAATGAGCAAAGAAATAACAGAACCAAAACGAGCTTATGAAGAAATGAACTTAGTAGACTTTTACAGAGTCTTCCATTCAACAGCATTAAACATTTTTTTCAGCTGCAAATGAGACATTCTCTAAAATAGGTCATGTGCTAGCACATAGAACATGCTTAAGTAAATGCAAAGCATTTGAAATTATTCTATGCATATCTGATCATAGTGCAATGAGACTGGAAATTATTGACAAAAGAAACAGCAAAAACTCTATAAGCACATGGAAACTAAATAATATCTTCCTGGACAATCAATGGATCATGGATGAAATTAAAAAAAAATTAAACAATACTTACAATTTAATGCAAATGCAGATACAACCTGCCAGAATTTGTGGAATGCAATGAAAGCTGTTTTAAGAGGGAAATTTATAGCAATAAATTCTCACATCAGGAAAACAGAATGAGCCCAAAATAAATAATCATATGTTACACCTCAAGATCCTAGAAAAAGATGAGCAAATCAAGTCCAAAGCACAAAGAAGGCAGGAAATTCTAAAAATCAGAGCAGAAATAAATGTAACAGAGACAAAGAAAACAATACAAAGATTTAATGAGTCAAAGTTGGTTCTTCAAAAGAAAGAATAGGTAAAATTGATAAACCTCTAGCCAGTCTTATCAAAAAAAAGAAAGAAAAATTCAAATTCATGAAATAATGAGTGAAAAGAGTGAAATCACTACAGACCCTATAGAAATTCAGAAGATGAGCAATACTTATTTCCAAAATCTTTACTTTCACAGAATGGAAAATACAGAAGAAATAGACAGATTTCCTAGATACATATGAACTACCGAAGCTAAATCAAGAAGATGTAAAAATTTTGAATAACCCAATAAAAGCCAATGATGTTGAAAATGTAATAAAAAGCCTACCAGCAAAGAAAAGCCCAGGTCCTGCTGGAT